AAAAAAAACAACCACCTGTTTAGTCCCCTCATACAATCTTACCAAGTCTGACTGCAATGAGGAATCTCGGTGAATAATTCCTGCAGGCTAGGAGAGAGAAAGATAGGGGGGAGAGGGGGGGAATAGTGATTAGGGAAACTGAGTTGTCGAAGAATACCTGTTGCAGTTAAATCGTGTTACGGTATCCCTTTGTCAACACCTTTCACCACCTCAGGCGGGGAAGAAAGAATTGCGAATATGACCCAAAATTGTAGATGGGACCTTGGTTCTCTCTGAGTTTGGTTGTTCAAAATATTTCTATAACTTTGCAAGTGTTTTATTACCAACTATTCTGACCCAGCAGCCTGGGCAAAACGTTTCTCTCTTACTCTGACAGGTCTGGCTGGCTGAAAGATGTTAGAATATCCATGACTGGGAGAGACACGGTAACAAGGCTGGCCAATAAATAGGCATAGCAACTAAGTCAGCCAATGGGAGCTGAAACAGATCTGAGCCTGTGCTGAGAATTGAAACTGAAACAAGACTGTCTGCTCTGAATTCCAAGTGAAAATGTGCTCTCCTGCTTGCGTTCTGCTTCTAACTTCCACCACATTGAAAGAATCTACTATTGGTATTGTACATTTATTCATCTGTAAAAGGGGACATGAGGGGGATGAGTTAGATATTGTCATCGATGCAACGAACATGGATTTGAGCAAATTCCAGCAGGCAGTAAAGGACAAAGGGACCTGGTGTGCTATGGTCCATGAGATCAGGAAGAGTTGGACACAATGTAGTGATTGAACAATAAAGATATGTGTGTGGATATGTACAGTACCTATTGATGGACATATACATGCATAGATATACTGCTGTTATTCTCCTTACCAAAGTTGTTCGACGAGTCGGAAACTTGTCTGGTTGGAATCCTGGTAGCTACAAAACAAAGAAAAAGGATCAAACATCAGAATGGAACCACGGGTAGTCTTCGACATAGAAAACATTCATTTAGCAGCCATTCAAAGTTGCGATAGTATTATATGGTGGACTTGTAAAAAGGTGAAAGCATTCTGGATAAAAATATGGTGGATTATGCAAAATATTCTTAAAAAGAGGATAAAGTTTTCTCCTCAGTTATTCCTGTTAGGTATAATTACAGACTGTACAGTTATAGAGAGTAATATGATTTTGAACCTTACAACGGCAGCAAGATTGTTGGTGGCGCAGTACTGGAAGAAGGAAGAACTACCTACTATCCAAGAATGGACACTAAAAGTAACAAACTTAGCAGAGATAGCTAAAATATCAGCATATTTTAAGGACCGTTCAGATGAGGAATACAAGCTGGAATGGAGAAGTTGGATTGATTATATTCAGAATAAATATGGGACTAAGAAATTCCAGATAGTTTATGAATGAATGAGCAAGCAAGGATATAATTTACTTAAAGTTGGCTTTACAAAAGGGGAGTTAGAGTACAAGTGAGGGATGATGCTAAAGCCTGTTAGCTTATCTTAAAATATGGATGTTAATGTTTATACCCTGTATTTGCTCTGGGAGGCTGGGGGGGGGGAGGTATATATTTGTAAAATATAAAAATATAAAAATTTTCAATAAAAAAAAACAAAGTTGCAATAGTATTGACAAAAGTGACTTCCAACTGATCCTCAGCCCTTAGGAACATGGCAGAATCCCCACGGTTACATGATGACAATTCGGCCACTTGAAATGTCCCAGGGTCATGTGAATGCCATTTGCAACCTTCCCAGTTGGCTTCAGACAAACAAGGTCAATGGGGAAGCCTTAACCACTGCCTGGATCATGTAACCACCGCAGTTATTGGCTTAACAATTGCGCCAAAGGGAATGTCAGTCCTGGGAAGAGATCTTTTTTCTTTGGAGCTTCAGGGCTGCCACATTTTAGTGTTCTGGGAAAATGGGAGGGGGATTTGCGAGGAGCCGGTGGAGAGATTTAGCCATGACAACATTCTCTTCTCTGGGAGTCAAGGACGTTCAACCTGCACCTGGATTAAGCATGACTGGGAGGTTTTCTCCAGTTGGGATGGTGGATCGATTGGATCATGTGATGGACACGAGGGTGGAGGGGAAGGGACTTTGATTTTTCTTTGTGTGGAGAAAACCTGGAAGCTTTCAGATTCGGGTTTTCCCAGATGTGCCACTATGAAATCCCTACTGAAATGGAACCTTGAGGAACCTCAAGCCTTGGAGTCTTCTTTGGTTGGGGGTTGTTACTTGGAACATGACAGGTAGGTCATAAAATAAGACATAACTCACTTAATGACCATGTTGCTTAGTAATAGAATTTCTGGTCTTTAGAGAGTTCCTCTTTCAATCCAACCTATTTCATAGGTTGTTGTGGGAGAGGAGAGGACTTTGTAAGCCACCTTGAGCTTCTCGGAGAAAGATAGACTATAAATCTAAAGGAAGAAGTAGAGGAAAAATCCCAACTCACCCCAAAATCCCAAGTAGGGCACTTAGAGCCTCTCCAAAGGCCAAGAACAGGCCTTGGCCTCTATTCATAAAAGACTTGGTGAACCAACGCTTAGTATTCTCAAGTTGGAGTCAATGAAACCCAACAAGTTGAAAAATCCCTGTGTCATCGTGAACATGCGTGGAGCATCTATTTTGAGAAACTATATTTCCTCTGAATCTAAGCAAGGTACATCTCTCCCGCCATGACTGAAGGAAGAACCACCCCATGAAACTCTTACCGAGCTCTTTGGTTGCTTCTCAAATTTTGCTGGCTAGAGAAGGGAGAAACAGTGAAAATGAGCTTGACCAGTGGCAAAGAATGGTACAAATGAGACTTTTCTGGAAGGGCTGGCTGAATCCAGAGCTTAGGTACTACTTCCTATTTCACCTTTTTCCTAGGTTTACATGNCTCCCAGAATTCCCCAGCCAGCATTCGCTGGCTGGGGAATTCTGGGACTTGAAGTCCAGACATCTTCAAGTTGCCAAGGTTGAGAAACACTGCCCCAGACTGTTAATGACCAGATGACCACAAAGGAATAAAATCCTTTTATTCCCACCTCCCCACCCATCCTGTCAGTATTTATCCTTCCATTTCCATTTCCATCCAATTAGAATTGATGAAGCTTCTTGGATATAAGAAGAGAAACATCTTCCTCTTCGTTCTCAATTAAGAAAAACAGTCTAGTTGCCTTTTGAGAGAAGAAAAAAGCAGCTTTGAGACAACAATTACCTGGATTATTGAGAATCTCCCTAGACCAGGGGTGTCAAAGTCAAGATCTGGGGGCCGGATCCGGCCCGCAGGGTGCTTAGATCTAGAAACAGTGAAGGACTGGCCCGCAGTGGGTGGCCTTCCAAAGCTCCGTTTTCTCTGGCAGAGGGCTGCAGGATCCTGTCGCAGCCTAAAACGGAGCTCAGGAGCCTATTTTCGCTGGCAGAGTCGGGGGTCACCACAGTTGCCCCCAACACGAGTGACGTCAAGCTGGCAATGGAATCGTGTTTGACACCCCTGCCATAGACCATTGGAAGCCTGGGCAACGTGTAGCTTATACCCAATTCTTAAATCCACTCACCTCCCAGTACCTTCAAAACAACAGATTACAGTGCTGAAATTTACTGGCTCAGTTTTAAACATGAATATGGGTGCCTTATTTTAGGGATTACTTGTAAAATGGCAAAAAAACAACACCCACAAACCCCTGCTTCCACACGGCCATAAAGGTAGCCCCCCCCCGTCTGATGACTTCCTCCTATTTTCAGAAGGATGTAAGAGCTGCGGTAACACAGTGGTTAGAATGCAGTACTGCAGGCTAATTCTACCCACTGCCGGAGGTTCGATCCTGACCGGTTCAAGGTTGACTCAGGCTTCCATCCTTCCAAAGTGGGTAAAATGATGAGCCAGGTTGTTTGAGGCAATCTGCTGGCTCTGTAAACTGCTTAGAAAGAGCTGTAAAGCACTGTGAAGCAGTAGATAAGTCGAAGTTCTATTGCAGTGGTTCCCAAACTTGGCAACTTTAAGACTTGTGGACTTCAACTCTGCTGGCTGGAGAATTCTGGGAGTTGAAGTCCACAAGTCTTAAAGTTGCCAAGTTTGGGAACCACTGTGACTTACGGGATACAAATCTATTAAATTACAAATCTATTAAATCAATTAAACTCTTCTCTTCCTTCCCCTGCAAGATCTGGGCTGCGGGCGCAGGGGTGTCCCACAACCCCCCC